TTCTATATTATATTAATATGAACTAATACGCATTTTTTCACCGGATGCCTAAGTATCTGATATTCGTAAAATTATGACGCTAAATAAAATTATTTTTTTAAATTTTTGGCTGCTCGAAATACATGTTCACGGTCAAATGTCTTTCCCTTAGATTATTACTATGAATGTTTTTTATACTTGCGCCTTTACTGAATTGTGTTCAACATTATCACCATCACCTTCAAAATTTCACGGTACTTAACACAAATGCGCTTGCTCAGAACTGACTGCAGATTGCTTATGACGATTGATAATGTTAAACTGAGACATGATAATTGATACTGGACATACGGTATACGCATTTTGGTTGTTTACCGTGAAATTTTAAAGGTGGTGGAAATAATATTGAACTCAATTCGGTATACGCGTAATTACAACCATGAACCATAGTATATGATCTAAGGTTTTACCCAAATAAAAATTTTAAAGGAGGTTAGGTTAGGTTAGATTGTTTTGTGTGTCGTCCTTGAAAGTTGTATAATATTTAATTTTCAACTCTTTAAATCCGTCTTTATGCTTATATTTTGTCAATCGGTTAGGTTTATTAGTAGTCAGTAGACCAATCGTAAATTTGTTAATTTGCCGTATCTGTTAATAGTAACCTGACGTTTAGTTTATTTGTCGTATTGTCATCGTTATTCGTCAATTTTTGCATTTACGTTGCTTGTTTTAGCGTTTAATTAACTATGTATCTGCTCATGTAGTCTGTGTTGAATCACCCTCTTAACAATTATTACGATTGATTAAATCGAGCATGTGATATATCATACATAGATACACATACTTTTTAAATTCGCGAGGAGGCTTTGTTATTGTGTCTCCTGATTTATTAAAAACTATATTAATAGTAAACTTACTATTTAAGTGAAATACTTTTCGTTTAATCATATATCATATTTACATTAATCCCGCTTGGTGTAGTGTTTGTTTTTTGGTTAAAAAGTAATAACATATTACAGCTTATTATATACATAAAAATTGTTATTATAGGTAATGTTGCACTCATTATTGAATAATTGTACATTTGTTCTTGTCTATATCAAAAATAAAATTAATTAACATTGTATACGTTTTTTTTATTTGTAATACTACCTATCTAATTATAAATTCAACCGGTACCAAATAAAATAATTTTAAAGTTAATATCTAAGCGTCTTAACTCTTTATAGTCGATAATCATCGCTGTAACCACTTTTAAATTAATTATAACCCGTTATTTCAACGACCTGTCCTCATGCGTAGAATGACCGTTTATTTTTTGCTATTAAACTGCGATGACTCTACCTCACAAGTCACAATAAAATAAATGTAGTCTATCGTAATGTTTAGGACTTACAATAGAATATGGGTTAGTGACAACTTCTTCAGTTTTTTTTGTGGTTTTTTTTTTAGTAATATAAGTATATATTTTACCGTTTAAAAATACAATGAAAAAATAATAGTAGCTACCAACTATAAATAGGTATCAGTTACAGGAGTTAGTACACCCGAGTGTGTTTATTTAATTATTTTAATTCCTTCGAAACTTCCCCATAGAGATGCTTGTATTTTATTCAAAATAGTAGTAAATATTCGTTAAATAATTATCATATCAAGTAATAAATTAAGTACTTTTTATAACTGACTAAGATTTAAATATTTATAAAAATAATTAGATGAATATATAGTTATGATGTATTTCTATTAATATATAATTATGAGTTAAAAAAAAAAAATATATCAGTCAGGAAAATTATAATAATTTATTAAATAAATGTTAGGTAGCTAAAAACTTGTCTGATCAATATGTATATTATACAGTAAGGCGTGTGCACCTATCATTTTACAACGTTATGTGTAATATTATTTAAACTCACCCAATAATAAGGTTATTATTTATTATGATGTTATAAACCGTCATCCTTTTTTTTTTTTTAATGAATTAGTATACTTGGCCAAAAGCGAAATTGGACTATACAATTATTAACATGAACACGAATACTAAAATGTTGTACTCTGATTATTATTGAAAAATAAAGGGATCGGCTGTATTATAGAGAAACGCTCAAACGCCATAAAACCAAGATTACTCATATAATTTATAATATGTTTGAACTGTAACAATTATCCTATCAATCATTTTTTTGTGTTACGTGTATTATAAACAACTAAAACAACACACACATAGGTACTTAAATCCTAATTGCACTTACAAAAATGCCTTTTTAAACTCTAGAGTCAGATGAATGACATTTTATGATTTGCACAGAATTTTACGAGATTATTGTTAACCTCAATTACTGAATATAATAAATGAACAATTTTAATAGCTATAATATCTTATGGTATAGACATTATATATATTTATGTACATTTTCTGAAACAAGTACTAAACAACTAAATAAATATCGAGTTTTTACGTTCGAGTCGAATCTCGTATTTTCGGATAATTGTTTCGAGTTTTCGATCTAATTGCCAAACTCCCGCAGCTATTATATATATAACCGTTTACATAAAAATAAAATATATTACCCATACATAATCATACGATTTTTCTCTTTCAGACAAGTTTTATTTGTTTATTTTTCAACAAAAACGTTCAAATGATGTCAAACCGCATTAATAGGCCTAGTTTTATTTTGTCGAAAAATCGATTTCATGGTCTTTTAATGATGACTGATGAGCGCACTATGATCACACGGTTTGACTAATTCAATATAATGCCTGATGTACTTGAATTTGTTTCTTTTATAAATAACGTACAGACTCGTGTCAACGTTTCTTAATTCTTTTTGTAATAATTATAACAGAAAAAAAATAAACTTATGTCCACGCTCTATCGTTTGTTTTATTTGTCATCAGTTATTTTTTAGAAGCGCAAATTAATAAGATATTAACCTAACCTAACTGAATTAAAGAACTTAGCATCTTATTAAATTATTATAGTTTTTCAACTTCTGGGAGAGTTAAGATTCCTATTGGCCACGCCGATCTCGGTTACGACTCTAGGATCGCCTAAGTTTTTACTTAAAATTAAATATCTATGATTAAAAATTACAAAAATAGAACGTGAGGAAGATAAAACATATATAAATTTTTTATAGTAGAGAGTTGAATAATTAATACAATTATAATAAAATTACAGCTACTGTTTGGACGCTATGGCAATTATTATTATATAGAAGATAAAATAAAATAAAATTTACAATTTATTTTTATATAATAGAAAGATTATATTAATAATATACTATTATATTATTTTAATTTAAAACGAATTCGCAGAACTTTAAAATTTAATATTCTCTCAACTTAAAATAAACTGTTAAATATAATAGCTAATAGCTATAAGTAGTATTATTACGAACTATTTGTCTTGATTATTTATTTAATGGTTAGATCAACTAAGAAATCATATTGTATTAAAGTGTTTTTTACTCAATTAAATGCCTACAAGTATACAGTAACCACAATAGTAATAAAATGTTTATTTTTTCAATTTATGATGAGAATAGTAGCTTTATCGTATTGCACGGTATTATTTCGATTTATGTTCGTTACTATTATTATTTAAAACTAATTATAAGTATGTTTTGAATCGCAATATGGTGCACAATTTAAAATGCTTAATTTAAAACAGAAGTCGAATCAATTTATTTTAATTAATTTCATTTTAAATCTATTATCTAAACGTTTGTAGAGAAATAAATAAAACTCGTAAACGACATAGCATATATTTTAACCTGCTACATAATATTGCACATTTTTTTTTTTTTGCTAAAAAATTATTATACAATAATTAAATACCTATCAGCTATAAAGACAAGTTATACGTGACAATTAGTAACTAATTAATTTTATTAATTAAAAGGTATAAAGAATCTGCAGAAGTTGGTATAGTTTTTTTGTACTAATAAATCTTATGAATAAAATAAACTACTTGAATGGACACATTTACGAGTTTTTTATTGTTTTAATTACACTCAATAATAATAACTGATTTAATTGTACAATGTGAACTATTCTTTCACTTTTCTATGTCGTTAATTGCACGGTGATATTTTGTTGCGATTAATACACTAACAAAGGTACATAACGGAAATATGTATAATACGCTATATCACGTACTCCAAGGGGCGCCATTTAGGGAAATGGCATTGTGTACTCCTCTGCCGTTATTTTTTCTGCGTTGGTCTCCCATATAATTATTAACAAACACACCAATGGTCGATATGTATAAAAATTAAAATATCTTTTGAAAAACTTATAATGCGTATAATACGTTACAGCTTTTCTTTAAATGCTACCTAATTATAATGTTATTAAGCTTTTTTATTTGTTATTAATTGCCTACTTTATACTATTATCACTGTACTTGAACCACCTGACATTAATAATAAATTAATAAATATATAGATAATATTTATATTTATTATTTAATGCATAACAAAAGCAAAAACTTTAATTTTAAATTTTCAACTTTACAATTTTTTTTTAATTCTGCATTAAAATATTGAATGTATATAACAATAATTGTTAGTGTATTAAAAACATAATTCAATAATCACTACAGTAAATTTTATGTATACTATAACTATATAGTCTTGGTTTATTTTACATCTATCACATCGTGTCGTGAAATATTTCTTCTTTCTCGATACCACACGACACACATAACTATATAATGATTACCCTTATTGTCCTACACCTCCATAGGAGGAATCTTTCCTCTACACCTGTAGAGGTTTTTATCATTTACCAGTTACTTTTTACATTATGTAAATCTTCATTCTATCTATCCACCTATCTTCCTAGGCATTCCTCTCACTCTCATCTCTTTATCTTTCATACACTTCATTATACCCCGAGCGCCTATATTTATAAACACTTGTAATCAACGCATTATAATTATTTACTCATAAGGCCATAACGCATGATACATTATAATAATTTGATAATTAAAACAAGAATCTTGGTGGTTTCAGGTGAATTTCGAAATCAGAGCTGAGATCGACGACGACGAGTTTTACACGAGAAAGTAGAGAATATGGTGTTGCGCCCTAGTGACGAATTCTGTGGTTATACGATGGACAATTATCCGCAAAACGGCGGCGGTGGCCATCATTTTTACGAGAGCATCAAAACCGAACTGGAAAGTTTTCGATTACGTGGCGCAGACGGAGATTTTTCGGCGTCGATTGCAGCCGCGTCGGAAGCACTGCTCAGCGACGATACAAGCTCGATAGCGTCCAAGAAACGAATAGACAGCATGTTCAAGACGACCACTTCCGTGACAGGCGACATTAACGGGGCGTCCCGCTTCCGCGCCGGCCGCCAGACCAAGTCGTTGGCCGACGATAACAATCACTACGACCACTTCAATTACGGTTATACTGCCGATACCAGCGATAGAAACAACAACAACAACAGCAGCAAGAATACGGTACAGGAGAAGATTGAAAAAATGTTCGCGGAAATCAGTTCCTCGGAACTCGACACTGACGTGTCAATGGACTCGACAGCGCCGACGACGGATACCGGAAGCAACAAATTCCACGTGCAGTACATAGGGTGCGCCGGGCTGTCGGGAAAGATATCCTCGTTAGAGGGCCTTCAACAGCCCGTCCGAAACATGTACTTCAATTACCGGGAAAATCAACACCATTACCGCGGCGACGATATTTTGCGCCGTCGCGGCTATTATCACGACGACGAAGACGACCGTACCGGCACACGACGCGACTTCTCCGGATTGTTGGAGATATCGGCTGCCGGTCTTACTATCCGATACAGGAACGAACTAGGTGACATGGAACAGCGGACCAACGCGTTTCCGTCGATCGCCGTGTGGGCGGCGCTGAAGTACGTGTGCCGCCGCCAGTCACCGACGCCGCAACGCAGAATCGCCGGAGAACCTGCGGCCGGAGCCGGTTACGAGTACGCTTTCCTGCCGCTAATCGCAGATCCCGACGGCTCGGACAAGGCACCGCTTTTCCGGGACATGGACCCCGGCGACAGGGCCCGGTTGGACGCGGCCGGCGATCACGCACCCGTATTCGCGGTGGTCACACGAGCGGCCGGCAAGCGGCTCGAGTGTCACGGGTTCGCGTGTGAGACAGAAAACGATGCGCTCCTCATGGCGGCCAACCTGTACGGGGCTCTCGTCGCGGCCATGTCTTCGGCTGCGGCCGCGGTGGACGCAGACGCGCCCACAGCCGGCAATGAGGCCGGGCGACTGGCCGCAACCGGGGCTAAACGTGTCATCAGACAGCGAAACGGGTTCACGAGCATGAGCAGCACGGCCGGTTCGAGCGTGGCCGGCGGCGGAGACGTTGCAGCGGAAGAGGCGCCCGCCCTACCACCGCCCCGTCCTCCGCGCAGAAATAAAAAGTCCACGTCGTCTGTCACAAGCGAGACGTCGGTCCGTGACGACAACTGCGGTGGTGTTTCGTCAACGATGACGTCGGTGCCGGCAAACAACGACGACGGCAGCGGCGGTGAGGTGTGCAGCGGCGCCAAGACTTTCCAGATGACCGTCAGACAGGCTCCGTCGCTCCAGCGGGGTGTGTGCAACAGTAGCAGCATTGCGGTTTCGACAGCGGACGTGCATCCTCGGAACACGACCAGACAACAACGTACGGACGGTCGCGGCGACATACTCACCAAAGTGGCCATACCCAGGAGTAGGAGTTTCCTGAACTCTAACGGGTTGGCGTCCACCAAGTATTCGAGGCGGGCTGCAGGTTGTGGTATCGAGACGGCCGCGAACGACCGGCGCCGCCGCCGGAGCAACGGCAGTGGCGTTATGGGCTTCTCGGAAATGTTTAACGAGTTGCGCGCGCAAGAGGGACTGAACAATATGGACGACATACTGAACGCCATTATCAACGTGGAGGGCATGTCGTACAATGATCTTAAGCCCATTTATAAGGAATTTTTGATGAAATTGGCTCTAACGCTCACTAAAGACGAGCTGTACCAGCGGACAAAGGCGATAATGACGGAACAGAAACGCAAACGGAACAAGCGACGTCCGACGGTCGCCACGCAGCCGGTTGGCCGCGGACGACGTCTCAACGACAAACTGCGTGACGCGTTGAACTTGCGGGCGGCCAAGTCGCGAATTAGCGCCGTATTGATGCCGGACTTTTGCAAGCGCAAATCCCGGAACAGAACATCCCGGAAACAAAAACAACAACTACTGCTGCAGAAACATCAACAACAACAACAACAACAGCAACTACAGAGGAGACGCCGATGTTCGTGTTTGGCGATAGCAGGATCGTCCGCAGAATTTCGGCCGGCGGTGGACCGGAAACCGGAACGCAAATTCCAACGGCGTGCCGTTGTGGGAAAACGGTCGGCGGTTACGTCGGCGAGCAAAGGCCGCGTGGCATCGGGTACATCGTCGTCACCCGTCTGCAGCACTTCCGACGAGAGCGACTTTTTCGCGGCCGCGGCGTTGCGGCAACGGCAACGTCAACATCAACAACTTCAACAGCAACTGCTGAAGCAACCGCCGCAGCTCTACA